CCTCCAGGGATGGGGCATCCACAGCTTCTCTGGGCAACCTGGGCCACTGCCTCACCACCCGCACAGGAAAACATTTCTTCCTAATCTAAATCTGCCCTCTTCCAGTTTAAAACCATTACTCCTCATCCTGTCACTCCACCCCTGATCAAGAGTCCCTCCCCATCTCTCCTGCAGCCCCCTTTCAGCACTGGAAGGCTGCTGTAAGGTCCCCCCGAAGCCTTCTCTTCTCCAGGCTGAATAACCCCAACTCTCTCAGCCTGTGTACAGGAGGTGCTCCAGCCCTCTGACCATCCTCGTGGCCTCCTCTGGACCCGCTCCAACAAGTCCATGTCTTTCCTGTGCTGAGGACTCCAGAACTGGATGCAGTGCTGCAGGTGGGGTCTCACCAGAGCGGAGTAGAGGGGAAGAATCACCTCCCTGCTTGATCCAATAAAATAAGAGCATAAAACAGCAGGCTCCACTTCTCAGAGGCAGCCTCTGCAAAAGTGGGCGCAGTTATAAGGCTGGGCAACAGCCCGAGAAAGCCATCTGAAACTGACAGCAAGGAATGCAGACAGGGTTTCAGGTAGATGCTAAACAATAGGTTTAGGTTTTTTACACATCTGTTAGCCACTGCAGATAGCAGGTATGAAATTAACACAGTGAAGCTGACACACACAGCCCTCTTCTTCCTACAGGTGATGATTTTTATCTTTTTTTTTTTTTAGACCAAGGACATGTAATTTTTCTTTGAAGAAATTACTCTGTGTTTTATTTATCCTTTTAATCATTTTAGCCATGCTCCTTCCTAGGTTTCACAGATTTGTAAATATGCAAGATGACAGAATTGTTCTAAGATATGATGTTATGTGTATATCTCATCTGAAGAATAATGAAACACTAGTAATACAATTAGGTACTTTGTAAACACAAAAAGATTTCAGTTATCAAGCAGATTTATTCATTTTTAGTCATATAAACACGAGGTCAAACCAGAAGTATCAGTGTACCAAGATACAAACAAAAATTTCCCACATTAAATATAAATATTAGATTTGCAATTGTTCAGATAATTTTTAATAGAGGCAATTAATATTTTCTTCATAAAATATGTGCATTTTATTTTTCCCTTTTCTTATTCTGTTCCTCTTCCTTCCATTTCTCTATGTAACATTTCAGAATGTTGTTTAGTTGCTGCTCACATTGGCTTACATGTTGTAATCCATTTTCCCATCCTAAAAGCAGCAATAAATAGGATAATTACATCTCACTTTACAGCATCCATCATGTAATTAGTCTGTGGTAATGAGAACATCTGTTTCCTCAAGCCTATCAAATGGCTGTAATATTTCTTATTTGAAAATTGTCCTTCTTGAGTTCAGCCATTAACGAGATGCTTCCTTTGATGTCAACTGAGTAAGTAAATAAAATAATTACTATTTTGGCACCTATTCTTGCAGTGACCCGTTATGTGTTGCTTTAGAGACTGAGCAGTATCCCTGTGCAGTATCCACCTACCTCCTCCAAAAGGTGATGTGCCCCTCCACGAGGGAGCCTCAGGGGGTACTGAGGACTCGGATTCAGCCAGAGTTTATTGAATGTATTTCACAGAGTTGGACGCTATGCTGTCTCTCACTTCTCTAGTTCAGAGAAAATCACCAAGGAAAAATTTATGCTGAAATTTAACTAATGCTTTGAGATATGAACTGTTCCATTTCAAAGAGGACTAATTCAAGTGCAGTGAAGAGAGTAACTATAACCTGTCTGGATTTCCAAAGTATGCATACCATGGTGAGGAAAGAGACACGCAGAACTAAGGGGCTGTTCAGGCAGCTTATAAACATCTTCCAGCAAAGTTGCAAGGGGTGGAGAGAGGCACAGTAAAGAGTTTTGTTTTGTCTTAGGCAGGATTAACTTTCAAGTATGTAAATACTCAATTACAGTAAATTTCACAGCAAATATGTGGAAACTATGTTAAAAAACTTATTTTCAAAAATTGTATTTCCTTCTGTGGTCCAATAAAACAAATATGTATTCACAAGACAGTGACCTGTAAACAAAGCAATCGGGAATTACTTGGTAGAGTTAGCTGCTCTCCAGTAGCACTGCTTTCTTTCTAGCAGCTCAAAATTTATCTTCCAAAACCAACGAGCCTCTAGTTGCAGAAAGACACTGAGCATTTTTCTTTATTTAAATACTACCTATTCAGAAATACTGCTGTATGGAAGAACTTCTTTATAGCTTGTTTCTGCCTGGGCCTATTATGTAAAAGCAAATGGAAAAGGCCTAGAAATGCAGTAATGGGTTTCAAGTCTCCTTCCCAGAGTGCTCTTTGTCTAGCTCTCTGATGGCATCAAAAGAATAAAAAGAAGTCCCATTACTGGATAACAAATACCCTTCAAGTATAAAACCAGTTTGCAGATAAAACTACAAACATGCAACTTGCATGCTTGCAAATACTTGCATTTTCCTGCTATATACTATATTTTACATGTAATAAATATCCTGTGGTTTATATAGTATGCATACTATATACTACATTTATTATGTAGTATGTGTAGTGTACAGTATATAGTCTATATACTATATCACATAAAGTATATGATATATAATTTTAAAACCTGAACCGCATCATTGTGAAAAGAAAGGAAAAGAATATACATATTGACAAAAAAATATATTACCTTTGCAGTGATGAATTACTCTTCCCCACAGTCTGTTCTTACTTAAACAGGCCAGATTTCCAACAATCAACAAATGCCTCTTCGCTCTCGTCAGTGCAACATTCATTCTCTTTTCTGAGTCTATAAACCCAATTTGTCTTGTTCTTACACACGACAAAACAACTATCTCCTTCTCAGCTCCTTGGAAGGCATCTACAGTGGACACCTGGACAGCTTTAGTTTCAAAAGCCTCAGAGTGTACGCTACTAAGCAAATTCTGAATCTGTAGACAAATGAATATGGATGATGAGTTACACCATTCACAGTCAATCACTTGAGCAAAAACACTCAACAAGTGTTGCACAAGATGCAAACTAAGAAACTACAGAGTGCAATGACAGTAAAACCTCAACTAATCCCAGGAAAATACTATGCAATGAACCCACATTTGACAAAACACTGGTGCATTCAGTGTGGCAACCAGTGCTGTCCCTTACTAGTCACAGCAGCCCATGTCATGCCTTGGATGACCAGGTGAGGTAAAACTCAAACCTTGCTAAGTAGATGATTCTGTCATCCGTCCTTGTCACACATACCTATTTGTAACAGCTCCTAATTAATTTTGGAAAACCACATACTATTTAATTTGCCAATTTTCTAGTGTTCATGTGGAAGGAAAAAAAAAAGAGTTTTTTTATCATATGTTCGAATTAAAAGATTTTTACTAAGTTTAAAGGAAAAAATGTAGGTTTTTTTTTTTTTCTAAACAAGAAAGAGAAATTATGGTAAACTAGTTTACCTATCCAGCATTTGTTTCTTGCTTCTAGTTGACTCTCCCTAGTTGAAATGGAGCCTATGCTTAGAATAAACAAATATATTTAAGAAAACTGTTTTACTGATGATACATTATACAGACCTTGCACATCTGTGATTTATAAAGAGTAATCACACCAATTGCAGATCCTTCTATTCCACTTGCAATCAGAGACTGGATGAGCTTGACTGTAAAATGACCTTCTGCCATGTTATAAAAGCTGTTGTCTCTTTCAGTCTGGAAATAGGGAAGAAGATTTCCGATTTAGCTCTCGCAAACAGCAGTTAAAATACATTTCACTGCACAGCAAGAATGCAAACAGAAACAGAATGGAGGAAAAATGACAATACTGACTTTTTATATAAGAAGTGTTTAAAAACTTACTTGTTCTACCCCATTAACACTATAAAAACATAGTGTTGGAAGCCAATCCAATAAAGGACTTCTGTCTTTCTCGGTAACACCATCTATCAGATTTCCTTCATAGAACAGCTCATTGCTTATGGCACTAATGGCAGGGGGACATCGGTACTGTGTCCGGAGAAGTATTGTTTTATGTCCCTAAAGAATTATGGTATAGAAAATGTGACTAGAAAAAATAGTTACTAAATATTTTGCAATGCAAACCAGGTCAAACAAGAAATGAGTGTAAAAAAATTCATGCAGCAAGATGACTTTACCATCATACATTCAAAAGTTCAGACAAACACTGTAGCCCCCGATGGTCTACCTGGATTGAACACTGTACATAAAGATCAGAAGGCAGAACCTGTAATTGTTTTTCAGTCCATTCTTGGTTTGCATTTGTTATGCTTACAAATTTCAGTGCACTGTGAAAATAACATTTGCAGAGAAATGCACTAGAATGGAATCTGCTTACTTAAAAAAGAGGCTGAAACAATGATCCTCCAACATCTAAACCAGAACTCTTTCAGTGACTTCAGTGGACCTACAGTTTCACTCTCCATCTTTTCTAAAAATGTGTTTAGTAGTACATACCATTAAGCAAAGCCGGTCAAAGAGAGTCTGCTCCAGTCCCTTTTCATGAGCACTCTCAGACCCTTGAATAGTTGGTGGTAATTGCTTAGGGTCTCCAACAAGGACTAGCTTTTCACACTGAAACCTAAATAAAAATGTTAAAAAAGAAGAAAAAAAGTTCTAAAAATGATGTCAAAATACTCATAGCAAAAGTGAGTGCTGTGTTTATACATCACAGATGGCTTTCCATCAGGCTCCCTTCTCCACCACTCTCTTTCCACAGTTAAAATAACATGGTAACTCAACGAAGGCACCTACGAGCAGGCCTCACTTTGAAATTACTCAAGTGTTTTCTAAGGTGAGACCTCGAAGTTCATGTTCTTAAAAAGACATGCAAGTTTGGCAATTATCTGAAGTTGTGTCAGTGCTATCTAGAAGTTATTTCTCTGCTGAAACACAAAAGGAAGGCTGTACCTTGCAATAGGAAGGAGAGAAGCAGGTTCAGTCATCTGACTGCACTCATCCAGCATCACTACAGGAAACTTGAGAGTATTCAGACAAGGGAATGGGCAGGCAGCACAGGTCACTCCAACCACTTTTACCTTTGTTATTAGTGAGGAGAAAATGGGTAGACAAAAAGATAAGATCATTTAATAGTTAATCTCTGTGCAGTACAAAACTATAGCTTCAGCAGTAGAATACACCTAATTAATTTTTAGCAGTTCTAATGAATGCTGTGCCATACTGGGTCTCAAAAAAATTAAATTCTAATTTCCAGTAATTCAGAGATTAATGTATTTTAAAGAACAGACCTGGTCTAGTACAGAGACAGTTCAGATTACACAATCCTCCAAAACCTTCTGAACCCCAGTGGCAAAAGTGGCAGCAATGACCACTAGGAATAAGCACAAGAAACAAATTGCTCAGATCTGCTTCATTATAATTGCTCCACAACAACCTGGGATTTTTTGAGGCTAGGACTGAGGAGAAGAGGCAAACAACTGGAAAGATCAGACATTTGGAAGATTTGTCTACAGGAAGTAGTAATTTTAAAAGGTAATACTTTGATGAAAAGTTACTTAAAATATATTTGAAATGTCTGGTCCTCTTGGCAGTTGATACTCAACTCTAGGATAGATTTAGTTCAGTCCTGATCTTTTCTCTTTATGGCTATATAAATTTTAGTTTCAAGGTGACAGTGTAGGCTAGCTGTGCTCAGAAATTTTTCTCTCCCCACCATGTAAACTAAACTGGTAACATTCAATCAGATTGCAATAAAGTTCAAGAAGGGTTTCATAATATATCACTGAACAGGAACTGCAAGTACAACTCAGGTCATACACAGGTGAGACACTAAGCTATACCTGTGGAATCACACCTGTCCTAGTCCTAACCTCCATTTTATTTTTCAAAACTTTAGGAGCTTTGCAGGTGTGAGAGGGGATTCCTAGTTTCTGTTTGATGGATGTTGTGGATAGAGCATAATGAATCCCCACTTTCCCATCCCATCACTTTGACCATACCTGCTGCAATATAGTTTTATTGGTCCCCAGCTTATGTTGCTCAATACTCTTCCTTACATACATTTTTTCAACTGGAGTTAAATCTTCTTTCATGAGAGCAAGCAATTCTTTTAACTGCTCATTTTCATTTCCTGAGCCAGCATGTAAACTTCAAAAAGATTTTATAAAAGCATTAATTACAATGATTGAAAACAACAGTTCTTTCAGTGTTCAGTGAACACCCAATATAGAAAAATAATTGTATTTTATACATACCAGTACCCTACAACAATGTCCTAACCTATCCGGAATCCAGCTGAGATAGACTGGTATAATACTCGTTTTAAAACTGACCTTTATCCCACCAGCTCAGACTCTGCCACCCCAACCGGACACATACACGTAGTAAATGACTGCTCTAAGTACACAGTTGACTTCAGACTGGAGTAGAACTGAGGAGAAGGCTTTCATTCTTATACCATTTTATACCCTTGGTATGCTACTGACACCACGGAATGGAAATTTAATCTTTATCCATCTTGAAGTGTACTTCATTCTCTCAAATTGTGTTGAAAGTGCTATGTAGATCACTTACTTTTAAGCAGTTAAAGGATAAACCTCAGAACACTTCAGATGTATATAGCAAACATAACTTGGGTAAGAAGTACAGAATTCTTAAGTTGTTACCATTAAATCTCTGAACATTAGGTTTATGATTACTCCCCCCTAGTTCTTATCACTACAGCAGTACATATATATTTCAAGTCTGTCTGGTTTGCTTTTCCTCCTTGTATAAACTCCCAAATCTGTAAAACTGACATTATTTTGTTCTTCTCTACTACTTTCCATTTAAAAGCATTAGCTCTATTCAGCAGCAAGTGTAAATCCCAAATCAAGGTAAAATTTCTCCACTGTGCAGGGGAAAAAAACAAACCGAGACAGGCATATTACGATCACATTTTTAATTACTTGAAAATATTAATTTTACAGCATACATACTATCATGAATCTTAGAATCACTTCAGATCCCTCAAAGATTAAGATTCTTACCTATAGGGAAGAATTGCTTTGGTGATTTTCCTAATACTTCCCACTCTGATAAAGTCCTCAAATCCGAGATCAAGTAGACTTTAAGGAAAAAGAGGTGATACATGTTACAGAAATGTAAGAAAATTTTGACAAATTTAAAAATTCTAAAAAGGCTAACAGACATATCAGAACACCAAAGAACACAAACTTGTACAATTTACCAGATGAAGTAACTTGGGCCACAATTCAAGTAAATCAAAGTTAATTACCTCATCATGATTTGTCCCAAAAATGCTTAATACCTTTAATCTCCTCTCATAGTCTTCCATTTGTACTTTTCCTTCCTCCCTTTATCCTTCCAAACTACGAGTTGTATTCCATGTTAGCCTCTAAATTTCTTCTTTTCTTGGTATTTGCTGAAGCTTCCCGAGTCTGACTCTTTCTGCCTCTCCCTCTCTCTCCATCTCTCCTTCCCCTGCCCATACTGCTACTCCCCAAAGCTTCCTGAGCAATCCTACTTTCTGTCATGATTAATTTTAGTAGTAAATTTGATGAGAGTGGGGCCCAATATTAGTCTCATATAAATTTGCACGGCTATACTTAGTGTTTTAGTCGTGCTGTGCAAAGGAGCAAGGGTAAAATTAAAGCCCCCAGGCGACCCTTTCTAGGGAATGAATGCGATCTTTTTGAAGTGTTATACTGGAAATATCAACACAATTATTTTTACCATGTAAGTGCATTATTGGTTTTGGACAAATAGTCTGTAAAAATCTTAGTAACCTACCCCAGCAGTATCCTGTCAACAGCAACGTTAGTGGAAGAAGCAATCAGAACTTTCCAAGGAGCTGGCCTTTGACCCTCTGTAGCTTCACTGCTTTCAAAGAGCTGTACTAGGAATAAGATCACAACAGACAGCAGATAGCTCTTTCCAGCTCCAAAAACACCTGATATTTTGGAAGAAAAAGCCAGAGTTACAACTGAAAATTTTCTAGAATGTACAGGCTTAATTGTTATAAGTTTATCTTATGAAATATTATGCTGTGATTCCCGTAAAAACATTGCACACGGTTGCTTCAGCAGCTTGAAGTATCCAAGAACAAACAGTTGGCTTAAACTTCGCATTTACTGCCTGCAATAAGTTTACACACACACACACAAAAACCTACAGTAGAGGGTAAGCTAAGGTATTTTTTCTAAATTTTCTGGTTGAATACGTGCATTACTTGCTAAGGAGTCTCATCAATACAGTAAAATAATACAAATACTCTGCATGCTCAGCCTTCATTCCATGTCCTCAGATACAGAAGAAGAAATCTGTGAGATCATTATTTTGGAATGACTAATAATTCTAACTAAATTAATAAGCCTGACAGCCTAACAAAAGCTCAGGCAATTTAAGTCTAGTAGTATCTGTACTAAGAGTGTCGTTACTGTCAACGTATTTACTTTGACAGGATCTGAAAACTTATGTTTATGGTAACTGCTTCCCAATACTGATTAAAAAAAAAAATATTGGAACGAAGACATTACTAGCCTTTTTGTACATGTTGAAAAAGGGTAAAACAATGATAGAAGGAAGCATAAAACATCAAGGAAAAATGCCTAATAGAAATAATTTAATATGATAATTTAGCAAAGCTGATACATGACAAAAAGTGGGCTTAATATGAAAAGAAATAAGCAGAGACACTAAATAACCGACGTTGTGTATAGATCCTGCTAGGAAAGAACTGCAAAAGGCAGGATGCAAATTCAACGTTCAAAAGCTCTGTGCTGGTAGAATGGGTGTTATAATACAAAGGTCATTATCAGAAGGGCCTCATGCAAGAAATGAATTTTCAGGAAATGTGTGAAATAGGTGAGGACAGCAGTGTTACAAAAGAGTTTAAAAGAATATTCCATACACACAGGCAATTTATTCAAGCTCATTTTTTGCACTATATTTAAAAGAAGTGAACATTTACGTGGACCTAAGAATCTCCCTTTAAGTCTGTCTGGAATTGTAAATGTATGATTAAGGGAACAAATACTCCGTTTCATCACTATGGGAATTCAGGGATATTTCACTAACACTGGCATTACATATCAGCTAGCATTTTTGCAAAGATACAATAGCAGCAAATTACAAAATTATTTGCTACATACCACGTATGATTGTGATAGGGGAGTTCTGGTGCTCTTCCACTGGTTTGGTATTTTCACATGAGGTCATCATCTGAGCTATGTGAATCAGTGACGTAGCCTGATCTGGGTTCAATGAGAATGTTTGGATCATCTTTTCAGCTAGCCCCATTGCCACTTCAGTGCTGACAGGTCCATACATCATTGTGCCTTTTTTCAGGCTGACGGCAGGTGGAATAAATTTTCTTCTGTTGACTCTATTAGTAGCATTTTCAGAATCAAAATTCCTAAGAAAAAAAACAGTGGTCAAAAGTTGTGTATAATACTGCATATGCATAATTTGTACCTCACGGTACCAATATTCTTACTCATCTGGCACTGAAATGTTGCAGCTTTACGACAGCCGACATAATTAAAAGTTGCTGCCCCCTGCACCTTGACATACATGTGGGCCGTATATTACTGCCCCTTATAACTTCCCTGGGTGAAAGCCGGATCACACAAAACAGGCTTTTAAGTTTTATCATTCTTGCTGTATGTTAAGCCTTTCAATCTGACTTACTTCAAGGCCACAAGACTGACAGAATTAAGAGTGGTAGAAGAATGTAGTCAGAGGTAACACGGGTTCATTTAATTACTTGTTTTATACTGTGAATCATAAGCAGTCTTGGAAATATCCCTATATTGCTCCAATTCTCCAAGAAAATATTTTATTTTTAGGTTTTGTGTCAAGAGATTATAAAAATCAGGAAGGAAAAACAGTTCCACTCATCCCCCGTGAAGCATATACATTAACTTAATACAGATCAGTCAGTGGCTGTACTGTCAGTCTAATGGTCAGAGTAACACCCAGTGTTAATCTCTGGGTTGTAAAATGTGGGCTGCAGGTAGGTGTTAAGAAAAAAAACTTGCAATCCCAGAGTTAGAGTTAAGCAGCCGTTATATTTTCAATTCTAGATAAATGAAAATTGCACCATCAACAGTTTATTCCTTGCACTGGTTTTCTGGGTTTAGTTTTCCTCATCTGCTTTTTTAATAGGGCGAACTCAATGGTATTTTTGTTGTTTTTTTTCCTGTGCCTATTGATGTATTATATGTTCCCAGTATCACTCAGTGACTTACATTTTCAGTAGGTACGGTATTAGTGGTAAAGTAGATGGATTGAAGTGTTCCTCCATATTTCTTAAAGATGTAAGTTCACCACTAGCATTACAGACTAGCAAGGCATGAACAATCACTGAAAAGGCCACAGAAAAACAAAATTAGGAAAAAGTTCAATTAGCCAAAGTTTCAAATCAGCTAGATAAATGAAGTACAAAATGCCAAGAGAGTGATGAATCCACTGTAACAGAAACTAAGTTAACCCAATTACCGTGTCTGAATTTTACAGATGAGGAGAGATCTTTTAGCCCTTCTTTGCAAATCGTGTTATTGTGAAGTATTTGTGATTCCAACATTAGGAACCTTCTGGGAAGGAAGTGTAGATAAAAATTCTTACTCATTTTAAAAACACTAAAGGTATTTAGAAGCCTTTGGAATTTAGGAGGTAAATTTTGTAAGTAAGCCATCTGTACCACAACAGCAGAAGTTTTCTTAAAAAAGCCAAGACAGGACCATGTTTAGTAACCCACATACCTCTATTTTGCTGGTTTTTATAACTGCTAACAACTATACATTACTTAAAGCTTTCTTTTCATGCAGCTTAGGGGGTTAGTTTTGTAATTGTTACAGAATTACAAAATCTGTATTTATGATCACAAAGGAAGTTAGGACCAAACACTTCCTAAGAAAAAAATAAATGTGAAACCATGTGATTCAATGTCATTAAGACTGAAAAGCTATCTACTAACTCTGCCAAACCCTGACTGCTTGTGAGATCCAGTCCTGCAATTCACAAAAACAAACCTCCAATTACATTGGCAGCCCATGATTTTGATAGCAAGTGTGCCCACAAAGAACTTGTATTTTTTTGCCTGTAGTTTTCAGTCTTCTGAATTACATTCAGAACAGGAGTTTAATGTAGGCTCACTGAGTTGTGTTTTGCAGGAACTCTCTGCCTAATACAGAAAACCTAAAAAGACTAATTTGTTAACTTAAAACACTCATTTTGGTGTACAACTTACTATTTGATCGCCAGTTTGAGGGGCAGTAGCCTTTCAACGGTAGCAATTCTACTTCATTGTTGGAGGATGGTCCAAAGAAAGCACTACTTGCAATGAAAGTATCAAGAGAATCAAAGTTCAGAGTCTTCGAAATAACCCAGATATCATCTGTCAAAATAATACAGAGTTCTCATAAGCTGCTTCTACTGCCATCTTTTAAAGAAAATGAAGCTGGACAAAACAGCCCAGCATTTACTATGCTGCAAATTATATCACCACTAATGTGAAAGTAGGGGGTATTAGAAAGTCCTAAATAAGTGTTAGTTCAGATCTAAATGAATTAATAAATAATTTACAATTAATCTAGTACTTACTGTCTGAAACTGATTTTTCCAAAGAATAGCAAGTACTGAAACAAGTAGGTATTTTCCCTTCCCTTTCAAAAACAACACATACTGAAGCCTACAAATGTTCTGTTTTATCTGGCATGTCTGATGAGACTAAAGCTCACTATGCTATTCCTATACTATACATTGCAGAGCACAGCAAGGGAGATTTCAAAGTTAGGAGCAATAATGGTGCGCTTATGTTTGCCTGTAACAAAAATGATTAAAAAATTATCCATACACAAGTTTTGCCTATGCAGAGCTTCAGAATGTAAAGTTACAAAACCCTGATTTGTCAGAACATTTCAGAGTCTGTGCGTAAAGCGCCCACAAACATGTTGTTTCTGCCTAATTTCCTTTACATCATTTTCAACAGTGAACAAACTATGAAAACTTGGGTATCAATTCAAAAATTACTGAAGCAAAACAAACCATTGAGACTATCGGGATCAAATCACTGAATGTCCTCCAACTTTGTGACATTTCAATAATCTAGAAGAGATATGCAATAACTACTGAAACACCAATTCTTACATCAAGTTTTCCTTAAATATAATCTATTTGAATACTGGGCTTTCCTGAAACTTCACTATCCGCAGATTTAATACACTCCAAACCCAAGGACATGGAATTTACATTTTCCTAAGGCAGCTGAACATTTACAAGGAAAAAATGAATGAATGAGACACCTTGTCCTTCTAGAAGGAAAACTGAATTATCAGGGTTGTCAGGAGTTTAAAAACAAGATTTATTCTTTTTTCTTTAGATTACAAATTAAAACTTTAAAAAGGCACAACATGACATGGACAATTCTTCTGATGCTTAAGATTTGCTTACCTTTGCTATAGAGAGAATAATGGTCCTTTCTGCTTAGTTTGAGGTATAATTTATTTTTTAAATCACCGTCAAATTGGGCAGGTGTATTCATAAATTTCTTGAACTTACTACACCGCTGTGTTTGAATTTCAAATGCTTTCCTGTTAAATTGTAATTTTAAGAAAAAGTATGTAAACAACTGGGACATTGTGGATTCACCACCAAAAATAAGAAAGCTCCACAGATAAGACCAAATTATACAGCGCAGATCTTGGTGGCTGTTCATCATATTGTATTAACAAGCTTTAAATACATTGATCTCGACTGCAAAACACTTCTCTCATATTAAACCATATTAAAACTGTTTCTCCAACAGTTAAGCAGCACAATAGCTTTTGATATAACATTAAAACTAGAATCACTAAGAGAATAAATCAAAGTCTGTCCCAAATTCTCTTACAAAAGATTGAATGAACAGTAATTCAAATGCAACAATGATATGGGATTTCATTAAACTATTGATCAAACTGCTGATAAGCAGTTTTGATTCTTGCTGAAAAGAGTGATGACCTGAAACGCCATTGCTGTGAATATTATTCCTTCACTAATTTGGCTTTTACATTTCTACAAAGAACTGTAACCTCTTTCAACATAATGAATGCATCTGTTAAATGCTTTTGAAATCCAGAGTTACTGGAATATTTATAAACCCTACAATTCACGTAGCACTTGTGAAAGGTGCATAGCATTTCAGAATACCTCACCAAAAGCTGGCATTCCTCATAGAGAGAAATCTTTTGACTTCTGAGGTATGTTCCAATACTTTTTAAGTCATGAAGCACTACACTGGGTCTGGATTTTATCTGTGCGGGGTTCACATCTTCTAGCCACTTGAAAAATGAACACTGCTCAGCTTTTGGGGCATCACAGGTGTAGAACAAACGGCCCTAGGGAAGGAGGGGGGAATGGGAAAGGACCGTTAGCACATTAAAATAATCAAGAAAGCAAAAAAATGTAAAGCAATCCACCGGTACTAGCTGCTATAGATATAATCAGATAAACACCTGTGTTTCACTATGTTTGGCTCAAAAAACAAGCGTGTTCCCAGTACTCTCAGTTTCTGAAGCCAGTGTGTGTAATCATACCTTATGAAAGTCCAATATAACCTAGAAAATTATAAGTTCAAGTCTTTCTTTATACATATATAAAGCTGCTTCTGTGCAGGGAGAATTATCCCATCAACAATTCTGGATACCAGCAGATACTACAAATGATCTCAAAAGGGATCTCTAGAACACATCACTTTAACCTGTAATTGTAAATCACACAGAATTATGCTGTAGTTGTTCACAGAATATGGCCTATACACCAAACAGACAAACACCCCAAACTGTAAACAAACAAGGAATAAACAGCACCTTGTTTTGACCTTCTTTTTTAACCATAACAAGCTTAGCAGGATGCATGTGATTGCAGAGTGGAACGCAGCTTTCTCTGCTCTCGCTTTGCCCATCTTTCAGTGAAGTGTAAAATGATATATCCACTTTTGAAAGAGCATTGTGTAATCTTTGTGACAACTCAAACAGCATTATGTTTAAATGCTCTTGACGTAGAAAGGAGAATAAAAGAGTAATTAGTACAGCCTTAAAATAGTTACACAAGTACACAATATTCAGACAAATACATTTTACCTTGAAACTTTCAGTCCCAAATCTAAATAAAAATACTTAATCTGAGTCCTAAAAGAAACCATGTGACCTGAAAAATTCACATCTTGCATAAGCAATTAATTTGTTCTAACCACCTTACTTTAATTCAAATCACATTAAAGTATATGACTCCAAACAATCCAAACACTAAATAACTGCATGTTAGGGAAAAGAAAAAAAAAAAGGCTTAGATAAGAATCTAAGTTACATAGTTGTACAGCAATGTAACAGTGATTTGGTTTGTCTTTGCAATTTTGTGTATAGACTGAACATATTTGAGTATATATATATAAAGCCAAATGCAAACAGTTGTTCTAGTAGATGATATTGATGATCTCTCTCCCTCCCACCCTGCTTTGTGAAGCTTCCAAAATACACTGTTTAAAAGTGACAGGATTTTACATGGCATGGTGTTAGACATACCTGTCAAAGCAGCTTTAAAAATCTGTTTGTAGTGAAGATAAGACTGAAACACAGTTGGTATGGAAATCTTTCTTTTAGGAATATTAGCGTGTTTTACTTTATCCACATTAGGAAAAGACAACTCAGAAACTGTTATGGCCTGAAAAATAGAAAAATAAACCATTAAAAACTGCAGAACCCTGAATGAGACAAATTTTGATAAATGGCTACTGTACAGATATACCAAAATCTATCAATTTTTCTTCTCTTTTTCCTTTTTTTCTCTTACGTATTGTGCTCTCAGTAGTAGGTACAACTAAACAGAAGAAAATTCAGGGCCTCACTTTGCAAACAGAAGTTTCAAGATGAAGACTGTCAATGAAGAATCAGTTTTCTAAAAGCAAAGTACAAATTCCTTTCACCACAAATGTTTGCAGGCTTTGTTAACTGTAAGTACAGGAACATGCATTCAATAGGACTGCCAACAGGAGCAAAATCAAGTACAGTTGGAGCTGCAGCCTAGAGAACTTAGACTGCCATTTAGGATGCACTGTGAAGTTAAAATTTGCCCCTTGACAAGCAGCCTGCATTTATAACACCACAGGTAATACTTTCAAAGGCTTTAGAGTAAACTATGTAATTCAGAATCATGTTTTTAGCCCTAGGCATGGGGAAGGAGCACACAAACCACATTTTTAACACCATTTCTGCACAGAAGTAAATCCATCAGATGAAACTATAGCAGAGGTAGTACAGGCTAGAGAGCTTTGGTGAAAGCATTGCATATACCAGCTATCCCTGTGCCTGCCATCCCAGCTGGTCCTGAGGAGCTTCTTCCACCTGTCTGCACTGCAGTGGGCATCATTATAACAACTCTCTTCATAAGCTTTGTAAAATCCAATATATATGGATAACATATTTTTCTATATATATACAAAGTATCTCCCAGTGTGTATACGAAATATACTAGCTCTTTCCACACCTCTATTTCACATGAATATTTTACTGTACAAATGATTTTAAAGAACTAGAAAACACAGCATATTAAGCCTGTGTCAAAAAAAAAAAAAAAAGGAAAAATCTAACATTTTCATTCACTCTCAAACATAGCCATTAGATGACTTTTAAAACTTGACGTGCAGTTGGTTTGGGTTTTTTTCTAACATACTCCAGCTGTTAGTGCTAAAAGCTGTGCTAATTTTTTAGGTGCTTATTTAATGCCCTAACTTACTTTTCCACAATTAAAACTGAAGAAATTTAAAATATTTTAAAATCAGAGACTACGCTTTGAAGGAAGATACAGGTGTTCATTAAAATGATGCTGATTTCATAATTAAGAAAAACACTTATTGAAAACATATTCTTACCAGTTATAGATGACAAAACAGCCCAAAAGTTTTTATTTCATCCTCCTGCCATCAACATTCGGACTAAAAATCTAAATCTGGCACTGTGTGTGCCAAGGAATTACCTTTACTAAGGACTAATCACAGCACTTAAAAAAATATATTAGCACCTGCTGTTCTGTAGCTGAGACTCTTTTGTGTTACTATGTAAGTAGAAACATTTCATCCAATCAGACTGATAATATCTTGCAGGAAATCAGATAAATGCAGTTACTTTGTCCAGAAAAATGTGTTTCTGTCACTTATAACTGTGTCTGCTTGAACAGTTACACACCTGGAAGTCTCCTGTTACAGTGTGGCAGCTCAGATGACTTAAAACCTTTTGTGTTGCTTCAGTCAAAGGTGTCTGACTTACGTGCAGAGAAAGTAACTTCCTCTCTGAAATCAAATCTTGGTTCCTGGTATTTGCACAGCATTTACCAAGCATGCTCTTTGCTGTCAGTAGAGGTGTTGAGCCAGGAGCACTTTTATTCACAGCATTGCTCTCTCCTGTGTCACCCAGCAGCATTCCAAGGACGTTCTCAGCACAGATGTCATCAGTCACTTCCCCATCATCGCTGTTTTGAGTTATCAAGTCACACTGAGAACTGTTTTGATATTTTAGCCACTTGCTTTGTCTATATTGTGAAGTCACATTAGGGAACACTGGTTGTACCAATTCCCTTTGTTCATCTTCTGTATACTCTCCAAACACAGAGGTTTCATAATTTCTGTCCTCAGGGCCAAAAGCACTAATAGGAAATACCACTGACTTGTTGCATAAATTGACTACTGAAGAGCCGAAAGATTGCTGGGCCTCCTCCCTATCAGTTGGATAAAACGCATCAGGAATCTTCTCAGTGGTGGGAATAACGACAAGTGGAGTTCGTGTTTTAACTGTGGGTTTGAATCTTGAGAGGTTGCATTCCTCTGGATAGCTGGATTTCTCCTGTGCTGTAGGGCAAACACATCTTACAAGTAACTTGGAGCACTTATGCATGGCACATTAACTTCAGATGAACAAAAAACTGAGATAAGGAAAGAATTCTAAGTTCTTCCTTTTACACTCTGTCTTCTAATTGGCAAGCTCTTTGTGTCATACCTGTGCAGTACCACACTAAATTTCAATACGAAGTGATTCCAACTGTGATTCTTTTAATACTCGACTCCCTACATTCAGAACACATTTCTGTAGGCACCCTACTTGTGCAGAGAAAGTGTTTGGGGGAAATTATTTAAATATTATAGTGCTTTGAAGGCCATAAATCTGATATTCTTGGTAGGTCAGTGACAGCTGCCAACTGGAAAACAGAGAGCTTAATATTTGCTCCTTTTCCCAAAAAGATCACCCACAAAAGTGTGTAAATTAATATTAACCAATGTGGATAAATACGCTTCTAGGAACACAAGCAGCCTTTTGACTAAATTCACTATCAATAAGAAATGACAGCCATTGATAGGTGTCAATGGGAAGCGGGTCAGAGGACAGCTGAATATGGGAGAAAACTAAAAGCAGGTAAATAAATGAAAACAGTATTAATTGGAAGCTTAGCTTACAGCCCTTTTTCCCCCAAACTAGAAGCTGATTTTTCTAAATAAAATTAAATCACTCTACTGAAGTTTCTTTCAGGAGAATATCTGGGTGGAGAGGCATGGAATTCCAGGCTAACTCAGCTGATTTGGAAAACACTTTTTAAAATCATACTCTAAAGAAGTGATACACCCCTGTATGAAAAATGTGTAAAAAACACAAGCCAAACTCTGTAGTTACCCAGACACATCTCAGTGTATTTCAGTGCTCAGGGTAACTGTCTTTTATAGTGCAACTCACTGTACTTCAAAAATCCTCAAAGATTTTCTAGTAAAAATATTGTAAATACAATTATAAACTATAATTTCTTACTGAAAAAAAATTCTGAAAGTTCTGGTTCACTTGGCAAGATCCTGTGTAGCAGGGGCTCCTGGATGTCTCCTATAGTTTCCTGACTGCCTGAAGCTGGAGAGGTTGTAGAGTCTGCATCAATTGAGGAAGTCAGTTCTACTGATGGAATCATCTAAGGATGAAGAATTAATATATGTCAAGTAAATGACTGGGAAAAAACCTGATAGCTACTTTGTCACTATTCTCTCACTCGTGACTCTAAACCATTTAAACGTCTCTCAGATTTGAGATAAAACAGTTTCAAAAATAAGAAGCTGCTACCATGAACACACAGAAAATAGAGCCAAAAAGATCAAGAACAGAGTTAATTCACACCTTTTCCGGTTCCCACGAACTCCACTGTGTTTGTCTCAAATCAGAATGTGAAGGTGAGCCTGACATTGTCCATGATGGAACTTCAGAATACACATCCGATGCCAATGCTAGGAAAAATATGCAAAGGACAGAAGTCATGCAGAATAATTGTTCTGAGACCAATCACTGCCATTCTACTTTTACCTTCACTTACGGGACTGATCTGTTATTGACTCTTTAATAAAGTTAGCCTTCTTTTGAAAATTCTCTTCTCTGATAAAGTTGATATCATCGTCATGAAGACTTCTTGAACCTGGAGGCTTCACCAAAAAAGTATAAGCAAAAACTTGTTAGAAATTAAACTGTTTATCCTCTCTATAAATAGTATCTTTGTGTGAATCTTGTTTTGAAATGTCTTTTTTCCAGATCTTATTTCTAGATATAATTCTTTGGTATCTCTAGCCCATTTCAGAAGTAAAAAATGAAATATCAATTTTCTTCCATTATTTTTAATACTAAAATATATACTGCTTTAGAAAAACATATTTTTAGTTACTGTTGCATGTCATGTTTCTTTGCATCTAGGAGGAACAGAATCATAATCCAAGAAAGAAAATTTTAATCTTTGCTTTGGAACTCTCTAACAATTATGTGCCAAATTTCAAATCCAGTTGAGTTGAATATTATATACTGCTAATACCAGGAAACAATCATTATAAAAGCCCTTTACCACTTCTCTCTAGAAGAAGTCTCTATTTAATATCACACATTATGACCATGTACATTTTTCAAAGTGAAACTGATCAGAGGAAAAAAAAAAACCAAGTTATCTCTTGCAAATGCGTACTCCTGTGACAAAGATGAGCAAATATAATTGTCTAACTGAAAAGTTTTAACCACAAAGCAATCCATGCGGTTCTTTGTGATTTTGTTATGATTGTAGTATTCCAAAAATTAACTTTTTAATCCTACATTTACAGGATACTTTCTTGCACTAAGCTTAGTAAGAATAACTTTGAAAAAGTTGGTTTACCTGTCTGAAGTCAGAAAGGACATAATCATTTGAAAACAGTGGTGACAAAAATCTCTCAGCTGCAAATTCCACATTATCTGGGTACTGTTGCCATCCTAGCTGTGAGCTGGACGCTCGCAACATTATCTCACTAGCTGCTGATCCCTTTACTTGGTGCCCTTGAAACGCAACAGGCTACACAACACATTGAAATTATCATTAACTTAAAACATAGTTCCAAAACTATGTACAGTCACTAAAAGTACTTTTCCTACACACAACAAAAATAATCTGTTTGACTGCAGAGAGAAAAAAATAAAAGTCTGTGCTTTTGAAACTCTTTGTCTGGTACTCTGCAACTCAGCAGAAATGCAGTTTTTGCACAAATCTCTGTCAACAGAAAATTGATATTCTGATGTAGTTTGTCTGGTCTTATTTTTGTACTGTAAAATTTTAGTTTAAAACTCTCAATGGAAAACTTCTGATAGATAAATGTACTAAAAAATGATGAGAAACCCATTATGAGACTGGCTAATTATTTATTAGGACTTACTGTAATATACTGCACATAGTAAACCATTGAATTGAAACTTAAGAAATGCTATTCATTATACTCCAATTCCACTGACATTGTACCTTTGGTTGGCAGTCAAATGTCCCAGGATCTCTTTCAGCTGCTGCTATTGGTAGAATAAATGCCTCCGTTGTCTGTAATAAATTGTCCACAGAGTTGGGCTGCATATTAAAAGTATCAAAAGCTAATTAGTCTAACAGTTTAATAACCATTTAAAGTGAAAAGTTAAGCTAAGAAATCTCAAGATTTTTCCAAAGACATGACATATTTATACAGCTGAAAGTATTTTAAATCACAGACTTTTTATTTAGAAGCCAGGACAATCCATGATAGGATAAGAAACTATGTTTGCTACTCAAATGGGACAGGAGAAATAGAGGAATTTAATCTAAAAATCTTTATTTTGCTTTGGACGGGTTGAAAGAAAAAGACTGTTAATAGCATGGGACAAAAATCAATGTGAAGCATCAAGCACAAACAGATTTGCCAGTGTATTTCAATCTAAGTGCTAAAATTCCTAGGAAAGCCATGCATTCAAAAAGACTGTGAAAGAAAAAATAGATGGTAAAAGAAGATGTGGTAGGGAAGGAGAAGTACCAGACATACTAATGTTGTGATATTAAACTTAACTAGATATTATAATTTGCATTAAGTTTCTTGTCATACATTTAGCCTCCTGAACATTTATTGGCAATAGGATCTGCAAGAGGACATCTTCTGTTTACCGTCAGCTGCTTAGCTGATACCTCTAAGCAATTTCTAGCTCAACCTCCACCCTTTCAAAAACCAGGAATTATATTCAAGAAACCTGGTAGAAAATAAGTTTATTTTGTACATACAGGTATACAAAATCAAAAATTGGTTACCATAAGGCCAGAAGAGTTTAAGTATGAACATGAAGATGCCTGCATACTTTCTGAGTAAGGCATTTCTGTAAACTGTTTTATAGCTACAAGAGATGGAAAAGCATAATAAGTTACAATTATTGTATTCTTTTTAGATGAAAACACCTGAATATTTACCAGGCTTGCAAACCTTACCCATGCAAATAACTGCACAGTTAGGATTTAACTGAACTAAAGCAACCACAGACACAAAACTTGGAGCCCACATTGTTGCTTTAAACACTAAAAATTTCATGAGGGAACCTTCATAACGTATCACTCCAAGAGTCTGATTTCTGAACATAAGTTGTCCAGCAGAAGAGATAAGAGTACAGAAGTCAAACAGGTACAGTCATAGAGAATTCACTTTAAAACAGAAACTGACCTAACCTTCATCTTCCACAAGAGGTTCAAATATCTCTTTAGGAGTCTCTGCTTCACATAATATGCTACTATGTTCCTCCATCTTTTGTAAGCTTTCTAGTGCTGTGCTATGTTGAGTCAAAGCCCTTAGAAGAGCAATATTTTTTATCAAATCAGAAAGATCTGATGAATTTTCAGCCATTGCTGTGCACTTCAGGCAATCCATTCCTATTCTTTCACCTTTGCAGGATTCATGAAAAGCATTTATGCTCTCTCCATTTTCAAACTCGGTTTCACCTATTGCAGTCTCCTCTGGAGAGGAATGGCCTTTTCCTAAAGGATAGACAGAACTTCTGGAAATCAGAGTATCTTCCTTACGTGACATACCAAATACCTTTTGATGGTCTTCTTCAATGTATTGGAATGAGTCACAGCTAGGATCAGATTTTTGTGACAAAGCCAGCAAAGGACTACCTGGTTTAACGTCATTACTCTTAGCACCCCAGAAGTGTTCTAAATCAACACCTGGGGATTTCATGCATCCAAGCTGTATAAAATCTTCATTGGTCCTTTTGTCCATTGCAGAAATTATTCTGCTGGTAGAAATACATGAAATACTTTCAGTTTCCTCAAACATAGTGATTTTAGGGTGACATTCATTAACATTTGTGTCACCAGGCAAAAGATAAGAGTGCTTGCTTTTTGTCCATGACATAGCATTAATGGTATGTGCTGCACAGCCATCAAGATCCTTCTTATTGTTTGTGGCTTCAATACTTAATTGACTTTCATTAATCTCTTTTACATTGTGTCTATCATCCAAAAGCCTCACTTCAATTCTGGTCTGGTTTGCAGTGTGTTCTGCAATTCTCCCTATATCTCTGACACTGTTGTCCCAAAGCTGAGATGGGATACCCCCACTGCAGTGAATTCCGTCATTCTCTCCATCAAATGTTGAACATTTGACTTCTTCATTTTTACTGTGTGTCATTACATCACAGCAAGAATGAAGCCTCAACGCAGTATCTTGTCCTACATCTTCTCCCTTTAAGCAATCTGGACTTTGTGAAAGCATATCTCCTTCAGGAAGCTTATTCACATCTCTGTCACACAGGTCTTCATTGTCTGTGTCATTAAAATCAAAAGCCTCCATTAGATTAAAGTTTACCTCCATCACCTGCTCATCTGGAGCACAGTCTTTGTCACGCATACTTAATTCTTCCTTTACAGTCCCAGTTTCAGTCAACTGTACATCCACAGAGAGCTCCAGGTCACCAGGCACTCTTTCTGAATTTTGTCTTGGCTGAAGCTCACTTTGCAAATTCGCAGATGAATTCTCCTTAAGACCGTTAGTCACTGAATGCTCCCTGTACCTGGAGAGATTTTTTTCAAAGGTGATTGGACTTGCTGCACATGAAGTGTCACTTGAGGATGGGGCAAACTGACTGTCAGTCATTCTAATTATGGTGGATTCAGGTAGGAAGCAACTATTTGTATTGCAAGAATCTTGTAAATCTTGACTTAAATTATTTGCCTTTTTGTCACGTCTCTGTCCTGTGATTTCATTACCACAAGGTTGCTCAGCTGAGTTCAGAAGCATTTCAGTATTCCATTCCTTTTTATCATTTACAGTTCTCTCCATAAAAGGCAGGTGCTGAATATTTTGAATGAGTCTTTTGGCAGGATTGCCTGAAAAAGCAGGTAGGATTGTGCTTGTTTGGTTATACAAACTCTCTGCATCTTCTGATGCCTGAAACCTAGAAAGACATTCTATGGCTTCAGACTTCGTTTGCTCTCTGCATACTTGTGCTGGTTTAGACTTCAGAAGAGCTATTATCTGTGCCGTGCTCCTGATGTTTTGTGACACTGCCCTGTGACCAGCTGTGTGACTACTAGATTTGGTGTGCCCAGTAATTAGAGATTCTGGCTTCACAATGGACTGATCAGAGTTTTGCTCCTCTGTCTCCTTACACCTGTCAAGAAATGTAGCTGAAAGCACTGAGGAGAGACACATGTGTTCTCTACCAACATCCGTACATGCATCTTTGTGAAAGTCTGCAGATAGATTTGTTTCTGTATCCTTCTTGCAAATCGTAGAAAATAAGGGAGAGGTAATATAAAACTTGGATGGAAAAGTACCCTGACACTGCTTAGATAAAGGCAGTATTGTTTTTTCTTCATCTTCCATTGTTGACATTTTCTTTTCAACTTGACGCGGCCCTTGGAAACCCTAGGAAAGAAACTTTAAATTAACTCTACTCAGAAATCAACTTCACATTTTGTAATCAAATGTTGAAAGTAGGGCACACTCCATAAAATATATTCAAGTAGCCATGATGATTCCACAGGTGTATGCAAATAATCTCAAGCCCTTGCTATTTTCACTGCAGCCTTAGCAATAGTGATCCTGCTTAATCAAATAGATTTAGTGAACTCTGGAAAAAGTAACTACTGGTAACACATTCCGGCTTATAGTTACAAAAACGCAGACAGACATTGTCTCTATATTCACCATTCATTAAAAGATGTGCCCTTTGTGTTTTAAAATGCATGTTAACGTCAGACATAACTTCTGAAAAAATAACATACTGTAAACTTCCTTTTCAAGCCAACAGACAGATGTCTTGGAGGCAGAACACCAGGTTTTACACCATTTCGACCCACTGCTGGAGTTTCTGCTTTCCTTGGCTGACCTTCAACAGATTTTTCATCCACTTTTATTGCTTCAACTTCAATTAAATATCGTTCACTTTCTAAATTGTCTCCAGCATTCACCTAAAAAAGAGAAAGCAGCAGTGTATACATAATAGTGCTATATAAGAAACAAGAAGAGTCTTGTAAATGTTGTGATACTGATATGTGAAAATTACAGAAATTTTCACCCAGTATATCACAGCTGCCATATAAATATTTAGATTAAAATATACATATACCAGAAAGCATTAGCACTTAGCTTCAAATTACACTTATTTAATACATCACTGTAATATACTGCTTTTACCCCAAAGGAATAAAATTCCATAAACCCTCTACACTAGTTCTGGAAAAAACAATAATAAGACTTATCAATAAATAGAAGCTGTTTTCACTTTCCATTATTTGCATTGCAGCAGACTCTCATATCCACAATAAGAAAAAGTACTACCTTAATCACCAAATGAGTTTGAAATGCTTCCTGAGCCAAAAAACCACAATCATAAGCATAAAAATTTTAAAAAATCCAAACAAAATATACCTGAGATTTTATAAAAATACTCTCCAAACATTGTCCTTTATCATCAAACAAGGTAGCCTGCAATGAAAAAAAATGAATTTTAATTAACTAGCTTTATTTCATAGATCAACTAGATTGCCACTGACAGTCCAGCAGTAGCAAATGATATTAAGTCTGATGGTATTAAATCTGAGTTGTTCACCTTATTGCTTCCAGTTCTAATCCTCAGAATTCCATCTTGCCACGTTTTTGATTTTTTCATTTTTTGGTGAGTGTATAATACCTGTTTAAATGTGTAAAATGTTGAAATAATAAGTAAGACAATGTTTAAATAATACAGCAGCTATACTGTCTTTCAATTTATTTCTACTTAATTGTACACAGTATTAAAAATCACTTACAGTAAATTCTTGAGAAGCCATTGCTTTGGCAAAACAGTCATCCAACAGCTTATTTCACAAATATTCACATCTTCATACAGTCTAAGAGACAGGTAAATGTTCAGAATCCACCAGAGCTGTGAGGGAAATCTATTGACAAAAAAAAAATGCCAGTTCACTTTCCCCCACCTCAAAAGAAGAAAGCTAGATGCAAGGCAACGTGAAAACAGGGCAGCTGATGTGGGCATTTTAAAGAGAAACCTTGAAAATAATGCAAAGACTACCTGTAAAAAAATGGCATTTTTATAGATGCCAACATATTCTCTAACCTTCGGGAGAACTCATTCATTTAAATGAATGTCTGGCAACTCTAAAAACTCCAGTGATCATACTGCTATTCAGAATTAACAAATTATCCTAATTTACTTGTGGAAAAAAAAAATACCATAGAAGCTATTAACAGTATAATTTTGTCACAAGTTTATTGGCTCTGGACTTGGTCATGCATGCTTAATTCATATTAAAGATAACGGACTCTCAAACCAGCCACCCATGAAGTCAATCCTCTTTGCATATTTAAAGTTAGCACACAATAACATTTAAAATAGCCTTTGATGACGAAACCAGGAACAAATCATTATAAAAGCAACTCATCTTCAGAAGCTGCGATTTGCTGCTGTACCTACTGGCTTATTTTTGATCAGTACTCTGATTTGCATCAGTGTTTGGAGAGCTGCACTTGTGACCTTCCTTAGTTCAATCACTTAACAGCACTGCAAAGAAAACAATCACGAGAGACTAGGTTGTCAGCTCCTCTTACACTGTAGATTAGTGAGAAGCAGTTCATATTAAGAAGAGAGCAATATTCACCCTGTTTCTTATGGCTGCCACCTTCTTGTTAGACCCCAGGTACAAAACCTAGGAAATGGACATCCTTAAAGGACACAGAACTGCTCCTTTAGCTATTAAAAGCAGCTGGATAGAGTGAACACTTGCTATAATTTAATATTTTTTTAAGCTGAAAGAGGGCAGATTTAGATTAGACATTAAGAAGAAATATTTTCCTGTGCGGGTGGTGAGGCAGTGGCCCAGGTTGCCCAGAGAAGCTGTGGATGCCCCATCCCTGGAGGGGTTCAAGGCCAGGCTGGATGAGGCTTTGAGCAACCTGGGCTAGTGGGAGGTGTCCCTGCCCATGGCAGGGGGGT